ATTACTGTTTGTCTTTCCTCAGTCTTGCCAACCATTTTTTCGTTTCTGCATACAGAAGCCATTACCGCAGGCTGCTTCCACCTACCTCCTGGAGTGGGGTATCAAAAAGTAAACACCTATTGGGTTGAAACCCTCACAAATGTTTGCTCCATCTCTGGAACCGTGTATCGTGCGCTTCTATTTTTTCTTTATACAAGAAAATTATACAAGCTGCCGGTTTTCTGTTGTTAGTTGGCTTTTAGCTGGTTAATTACCACGTGTTTTTACAGGTTTTCGTGTGATGTTTCTTTTATTTTTTTTATCTTTTCGAACATGAAAAAACTAAGTGCTTGGGCGCGGAGGATCACAGTGAAGCTTCAAAAAAAAGTTTTTTTGTTTTTTCGGAAAAAATTCATTTCTTTGAAATATGTGTGGTAAAATTTTAGACAATTTGAGTGCTGAGACTTGAAATGCAATCTTTTATTGACGAAAGACCATGCCCACCCACAAACTTTCCTAGAAAGCTGTTTTTCAACTACAGAGGAGGAGGGAAATTAGCGGGTTTAAAACTCGTTTTAGAACTTATCTGAGGTCAGAGAATTTTGTGGAGAAGTCGGCCTGTATTGCTGGTGCATAGCTGCAAACCTTTTACTCTCACGGTTTTAGTTCCCTCTTTTGACTTTTTCTTAGCATCTTTGTCTTTATCTTTTAATTCAGCCTTGTTTGTTTCTTTTAGGCAACTGTTAAGGATGCTAGTCTGTCTTAGCACAATGTAGCGAAATTTAAGGAAAGAGAAGAGCTGTTCTTTGTCATCTAGATAGTAATTTATTTATTTATTCTTATTTTCAGACTAGAGTCTGCATAGTTTTAGTTTGAGAAAATTGAGCATTGAAATTCTTATTTCTCTTTTTAGCAATGGCTTTTTCGCTGATCTTTTTCTTTTGGTATTAAGCATTCTTATATTTTAATTGTAGTAACCGCTGAGTCTAGATTTTGGGACTCTGAAGAGAGGAAATGTTTTTTCTATGTTGCATTATATAAAAAGCGGAAGGAGATGAAAAAAAAGTTGATGCTCAATAATGGTTCTGGTCACTGCTGAAAATCGAGGGTTTTCCGTGGTTCTTAGAATATTTTATTGAGATATATCTCCATTAGACTAGTATCTTGCGCTGGCTTTTATGCTGTGTACAATTTTTTAATTCTTTCACATCTTATTTATGGATTTCTTCAAGAGCATGTTCGGTAAGCATAGGAAACGAGAAGGATATGAAATGATTGACGTTGATAATGGAGCTGCTTCTTCGTCAATGGCAGATTTTCCCCTACGTTTCGACGCGCAGTCTGCTGGTGAAAGAGAACCTCTGTTAGTTGTAACAGTATATGTAGTTTATATGTCTTGTGTGGTGTTGGGACTGGTTTTCAAAACTGTTTACTACTCTTATTTTTTAATCTCTCTGAACATTATTCATATTATTTTATTTTTCAACATTCTGAGGATTTGGTTAAGTTTACATTTAGAGTTCGCATTGAGGGGGAGACACCCAGGCAAACGTACACTGATGATGCTCCAGTCGAACATGCTTTGGGAAGTGGTGAAGTTTCATTGCAGAGGCAGACTACTTCTCATGAAAATAGATGGGAACATATCGGGAATCCTGATCAGGTTTTTGAGAATTTTTCTACATGGGAAGCTTAGTTTTCAAATAAATTGTTTTCTATTAAAAAACCAAAAAGTTGTGTGATTTGCAAAAACCGAGAATTTTTAATATTGTTGAGTCATGATATGCTTGTTTTGCAGTTCTTTACTCGTTTTTACCAATATCATCAAGGTGGTGGCTTTATGTGCGTGGCTGCCGATCGCATTTTTTACCTTTTCCAGTATTTCTTCGTCATATTTTTTGCAACTTTCTTGTTTGAATGTGTAGACTATGATGTTTTATTTAACAATAAAAACGTGTCTTCTAATGGTACTCTTGTAACCGGAAAGCGGCGATTTGAGGTTCTGCTAACGTTTGCTTCACTTTTTCTTAGTTTATTCCTTTGTCCTTTCATTAATTACATTCCAGTTATTGTAAATTTTTGTCTTGCACAGAAAATTTTTTAGGATATTGTTATCGGCGATTGCGCGAGCCATTTTCATACTCCAATTGTGATCGCTTTGTTCGTCGCTGCTGTGTTTTGGATTTTCTTATGCGTGAGAGCTGGGTACCACCTGGTTCAGTTCTACGAAATTAGGAGTTTTTATAGGAAGGCGTTAGGTTTTTTGGCTTTTTTCATTCCTTCAAAATCTTTTAAATGTAATTATCAACTAGACTTTTCGACTATTAAACTTAATTTTCTAATTATTTCAACTGTTCAAGCATTGTCACTAAATTATAGGTATCGACGATGGCTGCCTTAGCGATTCGACTTGGTGTGAGATTTTGGCTCTTCTCTGCAGTAAGCTTCCCCAGCTACATGTTATTATAACCAAAGACAGATTAAGCGAACTCGACGTTTACCAAAGAATTCTTAGGTTTAAGGTACGTAAGGTGTGCGGTGAATCATGTTTAACTGTCTCTAAAACATGATTGTTAAATTTCTTATTTTTTTTTTCTGTTAAGGTCAATTAAATTTTTCTTAATAATGTTGTAACTCTGGAAAACCTGTACATGCAAAAGCTTTTTCCAACAAATTTTTTCTTTTCTTTTGAGAGAGCTTTATCGTCTTGTTAGGTTCACTCTAGCTTCTTTGCAGAACTACTTTGTTGCTCTTGTCAACGAAAACTTACTCCCTCCAGTGTTACATGTTCCTTTTGTTGGACCGCATCCATATCTCTCAAACGGGTTAAGATTGAATTTAGATTTCTTGTTTTTTCGTGGGCCGTTGTCTCCCTGGGAAAAACCATATACTTTGAAAGAAGAGTACAAAAACTCACAGAACATCGGCAGGTTAAGTAAGTTACCATTTTTTACGAATCACAAGGATGCGACGCAGTATATAAATCTGTTTACATCACTTGCTTTATTTTAGCATAAATAAGTCGGGCTTTATACAATTAAAAAACTAAATTTTAGCTGAAGAAATGCGGAAATCTATACTCATTCTTGGGTGTGTGAACTTACTGTTTATGCCACTAATTTTCGCTTACCAGGTGCTTTACATTTTTTTTTCTTACGTTGAACTAGTGAAACGCGACCCTAGTGCATTTGGTAAAAGGAGATATTCAAATTACGGACGGTTGGTTACCGAATTATATTTCTAATCGCACTAATCATTCTCTGCTTAACGTTTTTTGATATAACCGAGAACAACATCTTCACGGCCTTTTTAAGACTTACATTTTGTTGAGAGTTGGACCCCGTTCAATGAATCTAAATCTCTTATTTGTTTTTAGTAGCAAGCTCAGGCATTACAATGAATTGGACCACGAGCTACAAATTCGTCTTTCTCGTAGTCATAATGATGCGACGCAATATATGGATCTGTTTACATCACCTTTTGTTGAAATTCTAGCCAAAAATTTAAAATTTGTTGCTGGGTCGATTTTTGCAGTAATTTTCGCCCTTGCTGCTTGGGATGAAGATGTTTTATCAGTAAGCTTCTTATTTTTCATTGATATTATTGCTTTTCTCGGTTTTTTGTTTATAAAAAAGTAGCCGTTCGAAATGGGCTTATTTGACTAAGCAGATAACTGCTACAGTGACTGCTGTAAAGTTTATACTTAATTAAGGACCTTTGATGCAAAAAAAAAAAAAAATGTCTTTTGGTTTGACACTTGTATAATTGTCATTAAATGCGTCTAATTGGTTTCTTCTCAAATGAGATAAGATTCTTTTTCAAATTGCTATGAGTAATTGTTAGAGAAAAGCCTGTTTTGTTTCGCTTGTGGCTTTTTTATGACGCTTATCCTTATTTTTTAAACTAATGACGAGTTAGCTGTCAGTTAAAGTGTTGTCCGATATTATTCAGTCTAACCTCCACATAGGTCCAATTACAAAATTTTAGTTGGAACACTGCCTTACGCTTATGACGGCGACGTTTTTAACTGTAATAGTATGTAATTCTCTAATTAGCAGCGAAGATCAGATTTATGTACCTGAACAGCTTATGAAGCGTGTTATTGCAAATATTTCTTACGCTCCGACAACATGGGAAGGCAAAGCTCATACAAGTAATAATTTTTTTATTACTTTTTTGAGTGCTAGTGAATGACCAGGTTAGGAGTAACCAACGTGTTGGACTTATAGACTTCACTAACTAAAGTGCACATGAAAGGACAAAGTGTTTGCATTTGATGCTGATTTACTGTTTTTGGAAAGAAAAGATATTTTCGTTATTTCGAGATCTTGCGTAGTTTTTTCGTTCTATTTGAAATTGAAATTCCACAATAAGAAATTTTTTGGGCGAATAACTGTGTGTTCATCCTACTTTCGCTAAGGAACATCGAGTAGGCAACTTGTTCTAAGAGTCAGATGAATTTCGTAGTCTTAATCAACGGAAATAAGTGGGGAGAATACGCATATATTTAGTCTTGTCTCAATTTTAGAAATTTTATTTAATTCTTTTTTCTATTAGGGTGTACTAACCCTAAAAAAAGTGTTCATGCTAGAAGAGGCTTCAACTAATTTTTTTCTTTTGGATGCGCATTAGTCATATTTAATGGTATTGATTCACGTTTAAAAAGTCCTGTACTGCAGAAACCGTTTGGAAGGAGTTTGACTACCTTTTTCCACTGACAGCACAGTTCATTCTGGAAGAGCTGATAAGCCCTCTACTCACCCCCTTTATTCTACTTTTATGGTAGGGGCTTCAACGTTGGCTGCCTGTTTTTACCAGAATTGATAAGCTGCACTTAAAAACAATTGATTTACTTCCTCCAAATTCTTGGTTTTCAAATATTTTCCTGCTTAACAAAAAAAAATGTTTTTCAACCCTGATGTATTTCCGTAAGGTTGCGACCACGTGCCGAAGAATTCGTTAAATTTTTCAACCATTTTACCGTTTCAATCGAAGGGCTTGGCGACGTCTGCTCATTTGCACAAATGGACATCTTTAAGCATGGAGATCGAATTTGGATGAAAAGTGTGGAGCCTTTAATAGGTTATGCTTTTTCTCGTAATTTTTTACTGTTTGGCTGCTCAAGGCGAAGAAATATGGGTTGGAACGTAGACTTAGTGCAAAGTTTTTTAGGATGTTGCTTGCGTCACATGGTAACTTTAATTTTTCTCTGACCACTGTAGGCAGGCAAAGTGTGTCGTTTAAGGAGGAAGGGCATGGTAAAAGAATCCGCCTTTTCTGACCGTAGCACTAAACTAAATGACTAGGACTGCGTGGAACTCGAACTCACATCACACGCCTTTGTGGCGCACTGCTCTTTCACTTGAAGTACCGAAAGGCTTTGCTCAACGCCACGTAGACCACAACTTATCAGATTTGTCTACATCCTTGAATCAGAAATCTTTTTTTTTCCCTGTACATTGAAAAACTGTCATACAACTCAAGTTGTTCTAGTGAACTTTTAACTCTAAGTTAAGTTGGGCATAGTTACTTTTTGCCACACCTTTGATCACTTGAAAATTGTCTTAATGGGTTTTTAAGTGGGTTATCGACCTAGAGACTGGAATTAGTATCTGATGAGCCCAAATGCGATTTTATCATTGATTGCACTTTTTATTTATTAATGTTATTCTTCAAAAGGTATTTCTTTTATACACTTAAAGCTGCCTTCTAGGTGTTGAAGACATTCCGGAACAAGAGAAGGAGCATTATACAGCTAACGACGGCAAAACAGAATTGTCACTTCTACATTTTGTAGCAATGAATCCAAACTGGCAGCCACCCCTATCTGGGAGTGTTTTTATTAATTACCTTAAGACTCGAGTAAGTTCACTTCATTTTTAATATGCTCAAGTTCTAATGGATTGAGTTGTATTTCCTTCAAAATTAAGCAAGATCTTGTCTTTTCAAAATTTTGTTTCTTCATTATGATAGTGAAGAAAGCTTTCTGCAACTAGAAAAGCCTCAATTTTTTCTTTTATTCATTTGTTCACTGAGGAACTTTAGCTATTTTGAAATATCGTTGTTTTCAAGGCGGAAAAGGACGCAGCGACAGTTGTTGATGAGGATGGAGGCAGCAATCCCTTGTTGGCAAGCATCAATTCAATAATAAAGCATCCCTATCCAATCCCACCTCCAGAGCCTTCTACTACTGTATCAAGTCTTACTTCTTCCACCAACCGTCGTCGCTGTCGGGGAATAAACCATTTGGATGGTCCGCCTGGAGAATCAAATTTGCTTGGTAGATCACTTTATCAAAAAGGGTTACTTAGACCGCGGATTGGAATTCCAGCAAGTGGTAAGTGCTGTTACTCCGTTCCGTTTTTCAGATGCGGCGCCATCGGCAGGAAGGAAAATTTTGACTATTGCTTTCAGGTGTTTCTTGCGATGCAAATTTATGTGGCCCTGCAGGAGAAATGGCAATCAGCACATTGTATCTAAGGCAGCTTGTCAGCTGTAACGAAGTTGCTGAGGAAAGTGGCGGTAGTGGTGGAGATCAAACCCCATCTTTCAGAAGGTCATGTATTTGGGGAGTTCCTGCTTTAGAGAATACCGTGGACCAGTCTGCTTATCCTGGAATGCTTGAGCGTCGCGTAGACAGGATGTAGTGTTCTTATCTTAGAAATTTTTCAAACGTTTATATCGATGTTTCAACGAACAGTCTTAAACTCAAAAATGCTTCTTGAAGCTGCAGTATAAACAATTAAGAGTTTTTCGTTCAGACAATAAATGCTGCTGTCCCATCCTTTCTCTCCTCCTCTTCCCTCCTTTTAGCGTTGGGAGAAGTTTTTGGGAAGTAGGAGGAACAGTATGGAAAAAAGCCTGACGGCGCAGTCCTTATAAAAAGAAAACGAGTCAAAAACTGCAGTTTACCAACCAAACAAATATTTAAATTCTTCCTGTCCCACGGCTAAGTGGTTGATCAGTATTTGAACTAACAAAATATTCTTGGTGATCCATCAGAGAAACTCATCAGGCGGTTACAGGTAAATCGAACTGTCTTAGTGGTTAACTATTAACGTTTTCCAGTACGATGTACATTTTCATTCAACTAAATTTTTTTTTAGTGCCAAGTATAAGCAGTTTGTTGTGAAGTGCAGTAACAATTCAAAACTGTTCCAACAAAAGCAGAATAACGAGCTTACAGTATGAAGCAATTAAAAAGGAAATTCAAAACCACAATATAAGATACCTTCAGTACGTCTGATGATCTTAGTGAACATTGTCTACAGTAATTCTCATGAATCTATAAGTAATGAAAGACAGAAGCGCTATAATAATTCCCAAACTTCAGAACTTGCTAGAGTACTTGAAAATCGGAAAAAAACCAGATATATGCTATTCACGAGGAAAATTGATATTTGTACGCATCAGTGCTTCATTAAAGAAAATTCTTTTAGGAGAAACGTTGCTCTCCTTTTGTTTTTCTCCTGCTCTTCTTCCCCTTTGATGTTGGAAGGAAATTTTAGGAAGTGAGAGGAAGGGTACAGAGAAAGGGCCCGATGGTACAGTCCCTAAAAAAAAAGTTGTTTATGGAACACCTGTGAGCACAAATAATAATGTTCTTCGTGAATAGCATACAGCCAACTTTTTTTACTGATTCTTAGGCAATGCTGACAAGCTTTGAAGTTTAGGAAGTAATATAACGCTCTTCTCTTTCATTGCGTATAGATTGACGAGAATTACTACAGACAGTGCTCACTAAAGTCATCATAAATACTGGAGTTATTTCATATTGCGGCTTTTAATTTCCTTCTTAACTGCTTCATTCTTGAAGCATGTTGTTCAGGTTTTGTAGAAGCAATTTCGTACCGTTACTCCACTTCACAACAAACTGCACTCACTTAACATTCGAAAAAATTTTAGTTCCAATGAGAATATACGTGGTGCAGGAAAACTTTAAGAGTTACCCACTGAGAAAAAGAAACTTTGATTAACCTGTAACAGCCTGAAGATTTGATGCGTGATCGAAATTATTTTGTTTGCTCAAGTATTGGCCGTTGAATAGGAAAAGATAAACATTTTTTCTACTACGACCTAGTTGGTGAGGTCAGTTGCGCTGAAAATCCGATCTTAAGCTGAGTTGCCGTTCTTGACTCTTCTTTTTCTTTTTTTTTCCCTCATTAGTTCTGATGGAAGGCCGCTACATTTGTGATGTTATTCAAATATTGTTTACTCTCTCATGTATTACGTGTATTAGTTAACAGTTGTAACGTGAGTTGATGTGGTCAACATAAAGCAGATGCATTAAGTTCATGTTGACGTGAGGATATTTGTGCATAAAGAATCAAACCGACGAACAAAAATACAATTACATACGAAGGTCATGCAGTTAATATGAATGAGAACAAGCAGTTGCCAGTTGTTAGTTGCATTAAAATGGAGAAGAACGCGCGTTGGCTTAGCGACAGAGATTCAAATAATAATTGGCGGCAACTGCACAGCGAAGGAATTTCTGTGCATTAATCAGTGTGCGATTGTCAGCAACAACAACGGCTTTGGTGTTGATGGTTATCTATTGTCGTGCTCACGTTGGGAGGTCGCCCGTATGTTTGTCTGGGAGTTTCTGCTTTTGGCAACGCTATCATCGTTTCCGTGCTTGTACACAACAACCATTTGCATCAGCTGAGGGTCATAGATGCATGACAAAGAAGTTGGCAAAGGAAATAACACTTTGTTCTCACTTGTTATTTTAGCTCTCTATTGTGGGTTAATTTGTATTGAGGTTTATCAACTTATTTATTTATTTATTATTTATTTATTTCTTCTTTGTAAAGATTGGCTTTTTTCAACGATGTAGCGATGCTGAAATGTTACACGTTGAATATGATTAAGTTATGATTCGTCGTTAAACTTGCGGTTCAAGTGTAGCAGTAGTTTGATCGTAGACTGTATGTTATATGATTTTCATTTGAAGAACGTTTGAACGACATTTTTTACGGGGAATAGTACAGACGGAGCTGCTCTTCAGCTTTAAATTAGTCCATCGTCTTGACATTAACTACTCTACCTGTTTTTGGAGGATCAGTTGAATGGACTTAGGAGAAGATAAATGGACTTAGAGTTAGTCGAAGCAACAGTGTTGGTGTTGTCCATAACTTTCTAAACTGTTCTTCTGGTAGTCATTTACTGTTTGTGTCCCTAGGTTTACATGAGAACAATTAGAAAGTTATAGTCGCAGAACAGTTATGGTCCCACCACGCCTATAGGCCTTAGTTTTCTGTATTTCCATTTTAGTTTTTGTTCGTTTATATTTGTAATTATGCTTGTTTTTTAATGTGAAGTGTTGAAGTAAACGGTTCATTGCTTTGTTTGAATATAACATTTTGATCATCAAAGTTTTAAAGAATTGGCTGAAGTTTAGCTAAAAATCGTTCATGACGGTACATTCTGCTGGTCATCACTCGCTCCTATTTCTTACGGCCGCCTTGAGAATTTCCGCATTGGTAATTGCTCATTGTCGCAAATGCAGCAACAAACATCTTCAAATTCATATTTGTTTTTACCTCGGTATCAGTAGCTTTACCTTATGTGTCGTCCATTCTTCAAAGTAACATGAGGATTGTTTTCACTAGGGGTTCTTGGGTTGTGAAATGAGGTAGTTTCCACTTGGCCAGTTGAGTAAAGAGTTGGCTGTTCAGGTTTCTGACCTGGTTCCTGCGCAGTAGCGTCCCTTTTTTATCATGCTAAATGATTAACCTTAGCAAAATTACTCAACTGAACAACCATTAATTTGTTGAACACTCGCTAAAAATTTGTTGGTTTCTGTTCGGGAACTCTTCCGATTGGCAATTTTAGTCATGTATAGATTCTGAGGTTCCTGAAGTAGTTTTCTGCTTTTTTAAATCTTATTTCTCTTTTGAGTAGTTCACTAAGGGAGATTGTAAGATTTATTGCTTCAATTAGCCTGAAAGTGAAGGTTAAGTCGATGCTTTTTTTGTCTGACGACACCACAAACAACGGGCCTGCATTTAATGAGTCCACTGATATTTACCAACCTTGACAGAAGGATTCGGAGGGGCAACTGCTCCAGAGCGCTAGGGCAAAATCCAGCGAGGAAGGGTGGTATAAGATGTTCACTTTTAAAACAACTACTTCAACATGGGGATTTCTCGAAATTAGCCAATAGGGCTTATAAAATTATCCTTGATTACCGTTAGAATTTAGTTTCTAGGCCGGGAAGGATGATCTGTTGGATCATACCTTTGGGTACCTTTTTACAATATTAGGGAGTTCGAAAAGAATACATTGACTAGTTAGGTAGTTTGGTTGTTGTTGACCATTTTTAGTTTCAGGCAACACGTGACTCATATAAGTTAGAAAAATGCAGAACATAATGATTAAGGAGTACATACGATGTGTCGCTTCAAAACTTCCAGTCTTTGATAAAAGGGAATTATTCTTCCTGGTGAACTGGTCAATGAGCATTAAGGAGTGATTTTTTTTTCATTTTATGATTCGATGGGTTTTCTACGCGTCGTATTTTTCGCTTTTTCTTTTATTGCGCTCTAGTGTGTTACTAAAAGTTAGGAATTTTCAGCTGTTTTATTTTTGCTAGAATGGAAGCGAGTACAAGCAAACCATTCCTACGGAAAGGAGGTGGTGTTTCTGGTCGATACATGGTAATTGTTTGGGAAGCATGTTGTCATATCATTTTAGTTATGACTTGTCATTTTCATTTTTTTTATTTAAATGCTTATATTTGTATTTACATTTATGTGTATATTTATGTTGGTACTAAAATTATTTCAGAAGCTAATTGATTATCCTGTCATGCGGAAAGGTACTAAGAAGGCTGGTTTATCATCTGAACGTCGAGATGGGTACTGTGAAAGATGTAAGGTTTTAAAATATTGGTTGTCTTTCCCCAGAGTATCTTTTGAGTAATATCAGAATTAAAGAAAGGTGATTTTCTCTGCCGTTGCTTTTTGTTGCATCTTCTTGAATTTAGTTCCATTTGGAGACTTGTCTGATAAAGAAGAGTCTTACAGCAGCGGTTATGAAATGCGCACCGATTCTACTTCACCGTCTAAACAGGTTTTACCCTGTTTCGTTCCATTTTTCATTCCATTCAATTTGTCTCTGTATATTAAGAGCTTGTAATTTTCACTTATATTTTTCATTTTTTTCAATTTGAGGACACAGACGGTCGTCCGGTGACGGCAGGTACTGCGGATAGCGGTTGTCCGGAAGACGAAGAAGTTGTTTTAAGTCCCGACGCAACGTCGAGAAGGAGTTCTAGGCAAACTGTGACTTATGATGTTAGCGGTGTGACCACACAGGAAACGTCAGGTAAAGCGATATGAGATTACTCAACCGAAAGTTAGAGAAATTATTGAGAAATCTTTGCGTAGGCGACTATTTTTTGCTTTTTTGATACTTCAGTTTTTTATAAATTTATGAACATTTTTAGGGAGCCCTGCTGAAAGCAGTTGTCATCTGATTGTGTCTGTAGTCAGTGATGTTTCTCATTCAGGTATTTTTTTTTTTATTGCATTGATTCTTTTAATTATTACATTTTTTTTTTTTTTTTTTTTTT